GGAGGACTCCCAGGCTTGAATAATTATGTAGATAGAGTCACAATTTTGTATGGGGGCGGGGGGGGGAGGGTAGAGAGTTCAGTTTTGAATACGGTAAATTTGAAATGCTTTTGAGACATTCCAATGGAATGGTCAAGTATGCACTTGGAAGTACAGATGATCCGAGACTTACAATGGTTCGACTTATGATTTTTGACTTTATGATGGGTTTATCAGGGTATTAAATGTGTTTTAGCTTTTTTGTTCTTTTGGTGGTTGGCCAGTAACAGGGATTGAATCCTGGACCTTGGTGTTATCAGCACCATACGTTAACCAGCTGAGCAACTGAGCTAACCAGCCAGTCCCATAAATGCATTTAAAAATTTATTTATTGGGGCTGGCCCGGTGGCGCACTGCTACAGTGCGCTGCTTGGGAAGCGCGGCGGCGCTCCCGCCAAGGGTTCGGATCCCACATACAGACCGGTTCCCGCTCACTGGCTGAGCGAGGTGCAGGGAGCAACACCGAGGGTTGCGATCCGTTGCTGGTCATGAAAAAAGACAAAAAGGAAAAAAAAATTATTTATTTATTTTTCATTGTACATGTTTATGGGGTAGTTTGTTGTTTCAATACATGCATACATTGTATAATGATCTAATCAGAATAGTTCTAAATGCATTTTTGACTTGTGATATTTTTGACTTATGATGGGTTTATCATGATATGATGCCATCATAAATTGAGGAGCATCTGTACAGGCCTTGAGCCTAGAGGAGAGTCTGGGTTGGAAATAGACTCTTAGGAGTTATTGGTATATGGATGCATTTAAAGCCACAACATTTGATGAGCTCATCAAGAGAAGTGTAGAGAGAGCATTAGCCCCAAGGACAGGGATTCCAGCATTTAGAAGTTGCAATAGTAAGAAGGTGCCTGCCAAGGAAACTGATAAAGAGGTGTTTGAAGTGGCCGGCCCATGGCTCACTCGGGAGAGTGTGGTGCTGATAATATCAAGACCATGGGTTTGGATCCTATATAGGGATAGCTGGTTCGCTCACTGGGTGAGCGCCGTGCTGACAACACCAAGTCAAGGGTTAAGATCCCCTTACCGGTCATCTTTAAAAAAAAAAAAAAAAAAAAGGTGTTTGAGAAGGGAGAGGACAACAAAAAAAGGGTGGTGTCCTAGAAGCCAAGAATGAGGAAGTGGTAAACTATTGAAAATAGTTGAAAAGGCAAGTAAGATAATAACTAAAAAGTATCCATTTAGTTTAGCAACAAAGAAGTCATTGGTGAGTCTAGCAAGAGGAATTCTGGTGGAGAGTTTGCAGTGAAAGCCACATTGGAATGGGTTGAAGGTCTATTAAAAAAAAAAAAAGAGTACACAAGAGAGAGGTAGGGGGTGGCAGGTGTTGACTCTAGAGAGTCTGTGAATAGAGTAGAGCAATTGGACAGTAACTGGAGGTGGGTTGTTGGGGTCAAGTGAGAGTTTTCTCCACGATGTGGATACCAGTGGATAATGTGCTGATGGCAATGAGCCAGCTGAGGGAAAGAAAAGGATGCTTCAGGAGGTAGAGGGGATGATCAAAGGAGGGAAGGAAATGGGATCTAGAGTAGAATCTTCAAACTCTTTTGTTCATGTACCCCCACAAAATAATTTTTTTTTTTTTAAAGATGACCGGTAAGGGGATCTTAACCCTTGACTTGGTGTTGTCAGCACCACGCTCATCCAGTGAGCCAACCGGCCATCCCTATATGGGATCCGAACCCGCAGCCTTGGTGTTATCAGCACCACACTCTCCCAAGTGAGCCACGGGCCGGCCCTCCACAAAATAATTTTTAAAAAACAATATACTCTCACCCATTTTTAGTTGATGCCTAAATTATTTTTGTAACTTCATTTTTTAAAAAATTATTTTTGGTGGCTGGCTGGTATGGAGATCCAAACCCTTGACTTTGGTGTTATAACTCGTTAAATAGTTGTAAAAGACCTAATTTCTACCTATTGTATATAGTGTAGCCTTTTTATTCATTTTTAAAATTCTTTTTCCTCTTAGTTTTTCATTCTGGATAATTTCTTTTAACGATATTGTTTGTTTGTTTGTTTACTGGCAGCTGGCTGGTACAGGGATCTGAATCATGCTGGGTAATTTCTATTGCTTTGTCTTCAAGTTCACTACCCTTTTTTCTGCAATGCCTAAACTGTTGTTAATCCCATGCAGTGATTTTTTTTTTTAATTTTTTAAAGATGACCAGTAAGGGGATCTCAACCCTTGGCTTGGTGTTGTCAGCACCACGCTCAGCCAGTGAGCGAACCGGCCATCCCTATGTGGGATCCGAACCCGGGGCCTTGGTGTTATCTGCACCGCACTCTCCCGAGTGAGCCACGGGCCGGCCCCTACCATGCAGTGATTTTTAATTTCAGGCTTTTTTGGGTTTTTTTGGCTGGCTGGTACAGGGATCTGAACCCATGACCTTGATGTAATAAGCTCTAACCAACTGAGCTTAATCCACCAGCCCTTATTTCATGTTTGTATTGTTTTTTGTGCACTGGCACGTACTGGGATCTGAAACCATGACTGTAGTGTTATCAGCACCATGCTCTCCCAAGTGAACTAAACAGCCAGCCCCATTTCACACATTTTTGTTTTCATCTCTAAAGTTCAAGGTGGGTATATGTACATATTTTTTAATAATTTTCAAGCCTCTTCTTAGGACATACAGGAATACAGTTATAATAAATGTTTTTTTAGTGTCCTTGCCTAATTCTCATATAGTTGGTTTCAACTGATTTTTCTCCTCATTATGGGTCATATTTTGCATAACTGGTAATTTTTTATTGGAGACCCAAGATCTTGTGTTGGTTATTTTTGTATTCCTATAATATTCTTTTTTAAAAGATGACCGGTAAGGGGATCTTAACCCTTGACTTGGTGTTGTCAGCAACACGCTCACCCAGTGAGCAAACCGGCCATCCCTATATGGGATCCAAACCCGTGGCCTTGGTGTTATCAGCACCACACTCTCCCGAGTGAGCCACAGGCCGGCCCCCTATAATATTCTTGAGCTTTGTTCTGGGATGCAGTTAAGTCGCTAAAAACAGTGTGATTCCCCTTCTGGTCTCGCTTTTAAGATTTGTTAAGTAGGACCAAGCAGTGCTTAAACTAGGGCTAATGAATCCCCAATATGGAGGCAAGACCCTTCTGAGAACTCTAACCAATGCTCCATAAATTATGAGGTTTTCCAGTCTGGCTGGTGGGAACTGGTGCTGTTCAGGCTCTATGTGGCTATTGGCTACTGTTCCCTCCAATTGTTTTGTGTGGTTCTTTCCTTGGCCTCAGGTAGTTTCCTCACACTTAGATGATGAATTTCACTCTGCCGAGCACTCCAGGGGAGCCCTCTGCAGATCCCCAGAATTCCCTCCTCGTGCACCTTTTTCCTCTCCAGTATGCTGTCCTGAGCACTCTAGCTACTGTGGTTGCCCCAAACTCTCAGCTGTGCCCTCAACTCAGGGAGTATGGCTTTGCCTGAGATCTCCCTCCTATAATATATCCTGGAAGCTCTCTCAAGCAGTACACTGGGGCAATCATGGGGCTCACCTCATTTGTTTCTTGTCTCTCAAGGATCACTGTTCTTTGTTGACTGATGTCCAGTGTCTTGAAATCCATTGTTTCCTGTGTTCTTTTTTTTTTTTTTTTTTTTCTGTTTATTTGGTTGTTTCAGGCAGGAGGGTAAATTTTGTCCCTGCTACTCCATCTTGGATGGGAAGGAAAGTTGCATATGTACTTTAAATATATTTTTGTTCAGACCATGGAGTTGCATATTAAGGTGATTTCATTTTTGGGAAAATGTTCACCATATATCCTATTTGCAAAGCCTGTCCTCTCTGTCAAACCCGTGAGCCAAAGCAGATGGACTTTCTAACAGAAAAAAGTCTGATTTCATTTTTCCATTCAAATAAATGTGGTTAATATGTATCCTGTGCCAGCCATCTCATTTTTGAGTTTGAATTCTTAAATGAAGGCACAGAACTGAGTCACAGGGTTACCCGCTTCAAAACTTCTTACAGAAGGGCCGGCCCGTGGCTCACTTGGGAGAGTGTGGTGCTGATAACACCAAGGCCACGGGTTTGGATCCCTATATACGGATGGCCGGTTGGCTTACTTGGGTGAGCGTGGTGCTGACAACACCAACTCAAGGGTTAAGATCCCCTTACCAGTTATCTTTAAAAATAAATAAATAAAAACTTCTCACAGAAGCTCTCTAGGTTTGCTCTATTGAGGACTTCCTCAAGCACAGCATTCTGAAGTAGTCCATTTATTTGCTTTTTACACTGCAGAGCAAGGTGCCAGACTAGGATTGAGAATGAGGGAGAGAGGGCAACAGGGAAAGTGGAGGTCAGGAAGGAGAACTGTCAGACCTAAGGTTTCTTCTTGGGCCAGTCAATATGAGGAGAGGGAATATATGAAGGAGGCATTGAAATTAATTCCCTTAAAACTCTCTGTGTCCACTTACCTTCGAGAAAGTCTGTCTGTCCCTGTAGAGGAGTGCAAGTTCAGTTTGAAGGCCTCTGGTGCAAAGAGTGTGAAGCCATTGATTGAGCCATTACTGCTTCCTTCGTTGTAATAGAAAGGAAGGGGAGAGAAGCAGGCAGGAGTAGGGGGAGGTAAGTTGGGGATCTGATGCCTTGAATGTGAGGAAATTTCTATTTGATGATTTCAGTTTTCTTTATGAAGAATGAGTTTTGGGTCTATTGAAAGGGCTGGGGGCAGGGAGATGGAAGGCATCAGATGTTTGAGGAAGGTGGAAAAAATATGAAACGGTCATTACAAAGAATGGAAACTAGCTAGGCAGGGCCAAGGGTCCAGTTGAGGTTGGTGGCCATGAATTCAAACCTTCATCATTCTGCTCAGCTGTTTGATTTTCTTTAGCAATATTGAAGGTCTTGTTTGTTTGATGTTTGTGAATTTGATAAAATGCCAATCTTTCCCCTATATTGAGATATAACATGAATAATCACACAGAGGTCTGATAATAATTATAACAGAAATTTATTAATGTCCTTTCAGGGCTCTTCCACACAGGGTGGCTTTGGACAGCCAGACATTTACATAGCACATAGTGGCTTTCTTTTGTTTATCATCTTCCTGGTGAATTTCTTCTCTTAAGCATAAACATCTGCAGACCTTGAGTTATAATCGTCCTTATGAACAAGGCTGAGGTTACAAAGGGTGAAGAAGAGCCTGGGTGAGTTGCTGAGAAGCAACTAAGATGCTGGACTCTCTTTTGAGTCAAGGCAGGACTTCTGCTCATGCTCAGAAGGAGGGGTCTTGCCCTCCCTGTGGCTTATTGTCCAAGATGAGACCAGCCTGTGGGATAAAGCCAGGACCCTAATGAGCAGCCTGAGGCCAGGGAGGCTGAATGCTACTTGGACATGAAGAGAGAGAGTTCCCAGTAGACCCCTAGGGGAACAGGAACAAATTAGATCCTAGTCACTGCCTCCTCTTCCTAGCCTCAGGAGTTACTTATCTTGATTTACTTATCTTGTAAAGGAGCCTGTCATTCCTGCCTATTGTCTTGTCTCTTCTACCACTCCCATGTCTCATTTGTGGTTCTGCTCTACTTCTTATGGGCTACTTGGGATGGGAGTTAGGTCTCAAGAATATGGGAACAGAACAAAACAAAACAAAACAGAAACACTCTCTAACTTGCCTCCAGCTCTGCCAAAGACTGGCCCTGGAAAAATACCCTCCCTTTTCTGATACTCATCTGTAAAATGGCCTGGATCAGTGGTCTTCATACCACATTCTGTGGAGCTGCCAGGAGCCTGAGGGGTGCTCCAGGGCCCTAGAAGAGGCTGCAGTGGAAAGGGAGGCTAAGCTGTCTCTGTACCACCCTCTCCATCCCCAGCACCTACCATAGTAGCTGCTTTTTATCTGTTTTACGTATTGTTTCCACATAAAGCTTCTTTGAAGAAAGTGTCATGAGGCTACAAAGTTTGAAAACTGCTGGAATAGATGATCGCTAAGACCCCTTCCAGTCTGTGATACTTGGTCTTCTGAAGTCCAGCCCAAGTCATTCCTCCTCCAGGAAGCCTTCTTGGTTACCCAGTCCTGGTTACTTGTGCTCCAGCAATAATGATGGTGCCAGGAATATGGTGCCATTGCTAGCCCATCTGATGTCTGCTTGCTGTCTCCCCAGCTAGAAAGTGAGCTCTTCGAGGGTAGTTCGATTTTCCTTCCACACCTCTGTCCCTTGTAATAACATATGCGAAGTAGGTATTCAATAAACTTTTTGATGCTACCTGCCCGGCATCATGAGGTCTCCCACGGGACAAAACCCCCCAACCAGACTCTGCTTTAGTGAGGGGAAGCCAGCCTTTGGTCTTCTGAGTGTCCCCCAGAGTGACCTGTCCTTAACATGTTAGGGACCTAGACTCACACACTCTCAAAAGGGCAGGCCTGACTTCCTGCCTTAAATGGATTCTGTTCAACCTCTTCTGCCCCTCAATACCTCTCCTGGAGGGGCTTCTCCATATACTGCAGCCATAGAAGAGGCATGTTCCTGAAGCCTGAGAATCAGATCAGCCAGGATGCCCCATGGCTGGTAGGCACCTCTGCCAGATTCCAGAGGAAAGCACAGAGGAGATGGGGAGGAACTTGGGGGTTTGTTCAGAGTACAACTCTCTCTGGAGACGGAGGCCCAAAGGGGGAAGAGGGGTTTACTTACAGAGACCAGAGAAGGCAGGTTGGAGGAAGGTGCTAGAGGTGAAGGATCAAGACAGCCAAAGGCTGTCCCTGAGGCAGGTGCCAGGAGACTAGGAGTTGTAGTGGTGCAATGAGTCAGGAAACTGCTCTGCCACTTACTAGCTATGTGACTTGGGGTAAATCAATTAACCTTACTTAGTCTTAACGTCTTCACATGTAAATTGGGGGTGAAGGAACCTGACCAGCAGCAGGCTACTCTGTAGTGAAGTGGTGAGATTCCAAGGAGACTTAAAAGGTGCAGGGGTGTAAAGGATTATGGTTGTTTATTAAGGGGAAAGCACCAGAGCCTACTTCCAGCGAGGGACTGTCTTGAAATTAGGGAGGCTCCAAGGCTGGCCATCCTCCTTCTGCTTCACTCACAGAAGCCATCTCTGCCCAGTATTGGAGAATTTCTGGACAGACTGGTGAGTGTGAGGAGAGCAGGGCAGTTCGGGACAGAGGCCCCAGCCCAATTCTGGCCTAGAGACACTTCCCAAAGAGAGGGAAGTGTCCTGATGAAGAGCCCATGAAAGGGGTGGGACCCAGGAGGCTGCAGAGGTGCCTGTGTGCTCTTCTAGTCAGTGAGGTGCCCCAACAGGGTCCCAGGGATGGGGTCCCTTAGTCTTACTGAACTTCTTGCCACTTGGGATGGGGGCCAGGTCAGTCTCCCCTAAGGTTACATCTGGCCTTCTTCCTTTCCAGAGGATGGGTCCTTGTTGGTGCTGGGCAGCAGACAAGTCCTCAGCAGGATACAGGGAGAGCCTGGTGTTCCCCTCCAAAAACCCTCCCCACGGAATCCTCCAGATGTGAGGAGTAAGCAGCAGCCAGAGCAAGGCTGGAACATCTAGCATGGTTTAAAATCCACAGTTGGAGGGTGAGACCTCTCCATGTCGATTTGGAGAAATGCCTTCAGTCTCCACTCATCCCCCACAGGGCTCTGTGCCCCAGTCCGGCCTCACCAGGCCGCCTTCAGCTGCTGTAGCCTGAGGTGTGGGTGCTGGGCCTGCGCAGCCAAACGTCTGGCAGATCTGGCTGGCTGTTGGGCAGCACCACAGGGCTGCCGTCCCCCAGCCCTCCGCGGCCCTTCCAAGACAAGCTGCTCTGGTGGGAGTCAGGCAGTGACGGGTCATACACTGTCTCCCTCAGTGCCAGCCATAGGGTGTCCCGCTTCTCATTCAGCTGGCCTCGTTCAGGTAGTGGCTGGCCAGTGTCATCCAGGTCCTCTGGGGAGGCACCCACGGAATCTGGTACACGGGCACTGGGCTCAGAGGTGCTTAGGCAGGTCTCATCAGAGACACTGAGCCCCTCCAAGGTGCTGGCTGAGGAGCAGAGGCCATTTGGAGGCTCTGCAGCCTTGGACTTAGGGGAGTCGGCTGAGGCTTCTGGTGAGGCCTGCGGGGTCTCAGCCTTCTGCCCTTGGGAGTCCTGCCCGGCCCGGGTTTTGGGGCTGGGGTCAGCCTGCTTATAGGGCGAGGAGGTTTGCAGGGCTGGGCACTGGCTGAAAACTGCTTGGTGGTCTAGGAGCAGCTCCCTTGGGGAAGCAGGGGCTGGTGGGGGTCGGGTGCAGCAGGGGCCATCATGCAGCTGCAGATCTTCAGAGAGTACTGAGGGCCGGTGGGACAGCTTGCTGGTGGCTGTGCTGGTGTCAAAGCTGGGGCTTCGGCGTCGTGCCAAGGGCTGTAGCTCATAGTGCTCTGAGCAGGACCCAGGTGCCCCTCCTCCTGGCCCTGGTCGTGGATGGCCTGCCTTCTCCCTACCGGGCTCCCCAGTTCCAGTGTCCCATGGCAGGTGGGCACAGGGCCAGAGGATCTGTCCACAGTTCTTCTCTGGCCCAAAGAAACAGCATAGAGATTGGAAGAAGAAGCTGGCAAAGCCACAGCTGACGCACTTGACCATCATGAGGACGATGCCCAGCTTGCGATAGAGCAGAACTGTGGCAGGCAGCATGAGCACACCAGCTGCAAACAGGGATGCAGCCGCCACTGCCGTGGCACAGCTGGTCTGGCGCAGTGAGAAGGCCACGCGGCTCAGGCGGTCAGGATGTGGGCACAGGTGATAGGAGATGCAGTAGTTGATAGTGAAGTCTACTGAAAGGCCCACAGAGGCAGAGAGAAAGAGGGTCTCAGCAGTATTGAGCTGCCACTCGAGGAGAACCAGGAGTCCTGCAGTGAGTAGGACAGTGCCTGCCACTGCTGCCACAGAGAACAGGCTGAGTGGAACATTCCAGGTGCCCAGCAGTAGTGTGGCAAAGGCCAGTGCCAAGGCTAGACCCAGCACCACAGCAGGCTCAGTGCTCAGGCTGTGCTGCAGGCTGTACAGCTCCAGACGGCTTGTGAACCAACCATGGCGGAGGCCTGGAGGTGCCATGCCCAGCTGCACTGCCAGCCAGTGGCTGACCTCAGTGTAGAATTGGTGGGTCTGGCCGTAGTCTGGACTGTACTGGAAGTTGGTCTGGAACTGCAGGACCAGGGCAACCAGGCTGCCGTGGGCATCAAAGCGGGGTCCCAGGTCACGGGTGCCATGGAGGCCTTGCTCCAGAGCCATCATCTTGAGGCAGTGCAGGAAAAGCTGGGGGGCCCAAGGGAAGCCTGAGCGGCCACAGCAGAGGTCAGGACCCAGGCGGGCGCAGTTGGGGCTCTCCATCCAGCGCTGGAGGGCCTCCACAAAGCACAGCGTGGACCGGCCCTCTGGCTGGGTGCCGAAGAAGCTCTGATTCCGGGCCCTATGGCAGAGTGCCAGCAGCCAGCGCTGGGCCTCGGAGCTACTGGCCGAGAAGGCAGGGTCGCTCACCAGTGAGCTGTTGCTGCGAGGGTCCAGGGGGTCGCCAGTATCCACAGGCAGGATTCCCCACACCAAAACCACGGGCATGTGGCCGCCCTCCCCCTGAGGCAGCCGCTCGAACAGGAACTGCTGGCGGTACTCTGCGTCGAAGCGCTCGAAGGGGTGGCTAGGCCGGAAGACCTGGCCGCCAGACGGCGGCAGCTCGGGCAGTCCCAGGCGGGGGCTGACGCCGGCGATGTAGGCACCTCCAGCTGCCAGCGCCGCAAACCAGCAGATCCAGATGTAGCGGAACTTGATGACGCCACAGGGCAGCAGGCGCTGGAAGAGCAGCC